ATTCAAAGGGATCTGTAGATTCAGATAAATCTGTGAATGTTCATCACTAAAACAAACCCCTCGCAGTCTTCACGTTTCCATTTGATACATTTCTATCAGAGAAATACTAGATTGTTTGTTTAGTCTCCATGATGAAGAGGAAAATACATTTGCAATATATCGATATGATAAGATTTGATGCACAAAACAGCTTTTCCCTTTTACACTTATTTGCAGGCAAACAGGGTTTAATAGGTCTGATAACACTGAAATCAGCACAAGCAAAATCAGTCTTAATCATGACGATGATCCGATGTAGTGGAATAATTTTGTTGATAAATGAAGAAAATGGTTATTGTATGCTGACGTATTGGTATTAGCTGTCAAGAATCGTTTTTATTAGCACTTTAGCTGTTGTATCTTGATTTTGAAGGTGTATTGGAAGATGAAACTGTCTAAACAAACATGTTGGTCGTGTTGGAACGTGTTCTTCTTAGCGGTGTGATTACTGGGAGCGACTCAACGTTTATACTTCACAACTTCTGTATCATAAATATGTCAGTGAAAAGGAAAGAAAGAAACAAAAAGGTGCATTTTCAATCTGTGCCAATGTCATGTATTGGTTCTTGTCTTAGACAACAACTTTGTGACAAGACAATATTTTAGGTCATTTTTATTTTAGCTGTATGTCTGGGACAATGGAATCATCTGCAGTTGGATTCTCTGTGACTTTCTGATTATTAGCCTGGTTTATGTTACAGGGTTCTTTTTCTTACATCTCTAACTCTTGTAGTTCTAAAGCTGCTCTTCTAAAAGACTTATTGATTTTACATCTAAATGACTTTAATGGAGGAGTTTGAGTTAAAGATGAAGTGAACAGAATAATAGAAACCCCTTAATGCCCCAACACATGTTCCTCCAACATGTACTGTATGTAAATGTGGATATATACAACATTGCAACAGAAACACAAACTGAAGCCTCAAAGTTTGTGGCTTTGATACAATCTTAAGACAGATTTCTGTTTTCTTTAGTCACTGACTGTGTTCTCTGAAGGGCTGTTATGCCCCGATCACAGGAACATGGTTAAACACGTGTATGTCGGTCTCACTCTCCAACATATGATATCAGAAATGAGTCTCTTTTGAATCTGGACATGAATTGGAACAACTGGGATCCCAACTGTCTTCAGTGGCTGGCTACTCTTCACTTTCAAATCAAATTGTTTTTTGATACATCTTTCTAGACTTCTAGACTATCTTTCTAGACTCGGATATGACAGGGAGGAGATAGAAGGGAAATCTTGGATAAAAAAACCTCAAGTAGTCTTAAATAATGAAGGGGAAGCCCATGGGGAAGTAGATGATTGAGATGAACAACTGGACGATCTGGTAGAGGAGATCTTGATTTACACTGTCAACCTTGAAGAGTAAAAGGGCTTCAACTATGCACTTTTCCTATAACAAAACAAAAAATAAAATAAAAAATCAGTCTGACTTTCTGCCTGTGTTTTTGTTTAAAATTTGTGGATTCCTGAGTCCATTAATGCAGACATACACAATGTTAGTGAAAAATATTATTCTCTGCAATGATGTCTATTGATTTTTAATTGTTTTTCAATGCAATTTAAGAGTAACAAGTAGTGAAACACAGCCAAGAATAATTACTGTTATTAGTCTACTTAAGTACATTTGAACATTTAAGCTATGTTATAGTTAAGGTTTTTATTCCAAAAAAAAGTATAATTAGTGTATAACTATATTTACTTTGCAGATAAAGATTTGACACATAAAATGTGGTAGACAATTAACTACCCATTACTCATCAACAATGAACATGCCGCCTAATGCAGTTGTAATAGGAATCAACCCATGTAATACATCATGTTCACACTGACAGGAGACGTCTGACTGCGTTTTAAAAAAAATTACAACGTTTTCTTTTGATACTATTTTGCTCATAACAGCTGATATGTCCTTACTTTTAGTAAAGTTTCTGTTGCAGAACTTAGATTTGTCATGAAGGAAATTGTGATATTATTTAAGTAGAGGATCTGAAAACGTCAGTATAACACTGGTGTATAAATGTTAAATGATGTTATTTTTATTCCTTTCTCTCTCTAACATTAAACTCTTACTTATCTTGGGCTGTCATGTAAAATAACCAAGTAGGCTATATTTGATCAAAAACTAAATTTGAGTACAATTTTCAGGTATTCACACCATCCTGCAGTGTTCCCATTTTCTATGACTTCATGCTTTTACTTCTGTTGTTCTCGAGTTAGGCTATATATTGAACTTTTCATTCAACTGCGTTTACTCGAGCTACTGTTTAAATATAATAATATAAGTTTTATTTATATAGCACTTATCTAAACGAAGTTACAAAGTGCTTCACACAAAGGTCCATGGCAAAATGAATTGATAGTAATAAAAGATAATCTGTTCAGCCCAATATAAGAGCCAAATCATAATCAAGACCTAAAGTTTATAGAGAAACCCAACAGCTTCCCTATAAATGAAATATAATCAACAAAATATAACACGTGCAGAATTAAAGGATAAATTATATAGATAATCGTACAGTTGATCATTTAAATGTATTTTTATGCTAGTCATTTTATATGTATTTTTATGCGAGTCATTTTATATGTATGACTTTAATTTCTGTTTTGTGTGCGCATGCGCAGAGCTGAAGCGGGTTTCCCTGGGTTACCGTCAACAGGTCTGTTAGCTTGCTAAGCTAAAGCAACGTGTCTTTGGATGACGGTACTTCTGCAGCTGTATTCTGCCTCGCGGACCACACAGCTCCCAGATGTGACGGGTTAGACTTGATGTTAGCAGGAGAAGCTTGTAGTAATTATCGACTTGTTACTAGGGAATTGGCGAACAGTAGCTAATGCTAACGCTAACGCCGACGTGAGTAAACAGGAGGGGAGTGCGTGAAGTTTCCAGGATGACAAACCAAGAGTTCAGGACACTGGCCTACGCGAAGAGCCCGAAAACGTCGAGAAGAACAACATTTCAGGTAAAAGGAACAAAGCACATTGTCTGTGCTCAAATATAGAACATCACGAGAGACAGAGGTGAGGATCAGCCCTGTGAAGGTTTCTCATATCTGCCTGAATGATTTAAGGATGAACTTCAGGCTGCTGTCTCTGCCAGAGCCAACAAAACAACCACAGATCCCTTCTCCTACTCTGATGACTTCGATGAGGATGAAGATGGTAAGATGACAGAGCATCAGTATATTTACGAATGCAGCTCTCTTCAGTACCTTTGTTTACATTCTATGACTCATGACGTTGAGGGTGTTTCATTGCCTCCTCGTTTTAAACATCTATAAATCACTATTTGTTCTTACCCTCGGGGTTTATACAGTAGTCCACATTCACAAATCACAATTTGTTTCATATGGCTTCACAATGTGCAACATTCTCCGCCCTTAACCCTCAACAAGAGTGAGGAAAAACAGAAACCTCAGAGTGAGCCGCATGTGAAGGATCCCTCTCGTGTAGCAAAGCACTTCAACAATATTTAGTCATGAATGTGCCTAACATGAATGAGAGGTGTATGAATGTTTAAAGGTATTGTCAATAATGGTAGTATATGTAGGCGGGCGTATTATATATCTAAGCAGTCTCATTGTAAAAATAAGCCCCAATTAGATGTCACCACAATCCACTACCCCTGATCCTAGTTAACTTACTATCGTGCATAACAACAAAAGCATCAAATCAGCACATGTGAGAAGCTATAAGAGAAGAGACAATAGAAAGAGAACTCAATCAATTTTGTTGATCAGCTTACCAATGAATTGACTATCAGTCACAGCTCTACATCTGTTCTGTAATGCACCAAATTTCTATTTTTCCACAGATGTTTTCAATGAACTCCTCGAATCGAGAAAAAAGAAGACGGGTGCATTTAAGGCTACGAAATCTAAAGTGAACACGAACGACACCTTTGACCTTTCCGATGATAAAGGCAAACATGGGAAAACAAAGAGAGTTTCATTTCTGAAGAGCCAGAGAATCAGCTCTTCCTCAGGGGACGCATCAGAGTCACGTGAAAATGAGCAGCTTGACTCTGTCGTTGGACATTACAATCATAATAACTCGTATTCCTCACAACACTCAACAGGTGTCAGCAAATATGACACACAGAGTAAAAATAGTGCTGTGGAACCTGTCGATTCCCAAATCCCAAGAGGGAGCTTTAGTAAATCTCTCTCATACCAAACCTCAGATGATCTTCTGGACATGTCTCTGCCTTTACCATCTGACAGCAGTGTGACGGAAACTCCAGGTCCTGAGGAGAAGAGCAACACTCTTCTGGAAGAAATATCCCAGACTCTAAATTTGTCAGGACCTGACATCAAACCCGAGCCTTCAGCAGGTCTGTTTACACTGTTTTACCATGCATGTAACTATCAGTGCAGATTTTAAATGTATATTTCCACATTATTCAGATATTGCTACAGAGAGGGAGCCACCCAGACCCAAACCAAGACAACGGACTCTGGGGTTAAGCTCCCACGCTGTAGAGAAGATGCCTGAGGAAACTGACTCTCAGGATATGAGCAGGCCCCAGACGTCCTCTGCATCCATTCCCCTCTCTTCTGACGCATCCAGCAGCACTGCAGGGAGGAGCTGTAGTCCACATGTGTGTCTCATTGCATGATTTTTTCCAGCATTTTAGGTTTCAGGGTAAAAATGATGGTTCTATTATAGAAGATTGTTTGTTGTCTTGTGTCATCGTAGTGGACAGAAGATGATCGCACAGTTTCACAAAGCCGCAGCAAATCTTCTTTGAGTGAGCAGTCACAGCTCCCTACCAAGTCAACTATTGATTCTGAATCCAGAGGTAATAATTAGCATGTTTAACACAATAACCGTATTATTCCCTAATTGTTTTTTTTTTTTCAACTCAAGATTTGATATTAAATATCTTGTTTCAGGTGATTTTATTTCTGATGACAGCAAAGATCAGGATGGAAAGAACTCTACATCATTTGAAGAATTTCGTGTAAGACATGGTGTCCTTTGCATTCACCTCATATCAGACACACTCTGCCTCTTATTCTTATTATTTTTAGTTTAGTAACATCCGTGTGTTATTTTCAGGAGGATTTGGGAGATCACTCCGATCATTCTGCTGCTCAACTCTCTCACACTCAGGAAAAGTCATTTGACACCAGGTAGCTCATTCTCTCCAATACACACATCTTCATGGATAAAACAGGATAATAACATAATCGACATTGATTTCCTTTTTTTATTTAAATTAGGGCGTCAAGTTCACACTCAAAGATCACTCAGAGGTCTCAAAGTGCCTGCTCCAGAAAAGTGGAATCAAAGTATTTGGGATCTCTCAAAGTTCTGGACCGTAAAGTATCGCTACAAGAATCTCAGCCACAAGCAGCAGATTCACTCAGAGCTGCCATTTACCAGGTCAGTGTCATAATGAGCCCGTATTTTCTTCACTGTTAATATGTTGGATTTAAGGTTTTATTATATTATTAAGTATGTGGTACAGAGGAATGTATTCTGAGAAATAAATCTGGGTTCAAAATAGTGAACTTTTCAGCATTTTAAAGGGTTTCAGGAAAGCAGAAATCAGTCTTACCATGTGTATGGCAGCTCTTTTCATCCTGAGATATTTGTATTCTTCCATTTCCGGTCTGTTGAGGGTTAGAAACTTCATCAATTTGACCACTTGCTGTGAATTCTCCAGAATCTTTCCTGCTGTATTCTCATATGGGCTCACTTGGACATTTTACCAGGGAGCTGGCAGGCAAAGTTCTGGAAAATATCTGGAGCAACTTACTTGGACATTTGCGTTGTCACATACAGCCCTTTTGGAAAATATCTGGACTTGAGTGCATGTCTGAAAGCAGCTACAATGTCCTGTGAAAAGATGTGTATGATTTGTACACTGATTATTTATGTGACTAGAGGACATAGAAGTATTAACTGCATTCTTAGTCAGGTAAAAATCACTCTCCACTCTTACCAGGAATGGCTGAAAAAGAAGATGGAAAAGTCAAGAGAGAACATGCAACTAAAGAAGAAAGAGGAACTCCTCCAAGAAAAAAAGAAAAAGGTGAACTATTACAGTGCAACATCATCTCTAAAGATTAAAAGAAGTATGTGGTTGTTACTGATATATGCATACTTCTCTTTATCGTTCTAAATAATAAATAGGAAGAAGACGCAAAAAAGGAAGATGCTGTTGCATCATATGCGGCTTGGAAGGAAAAGAAAGCACAGAGTCTTAAAGCAAAAGCCAAAGAAAAGCAAGATATGATGAGAAAAGAGCAGAGAGCAAGTGAAGAGACAAAAGAAAAGAGGCAGTCCGCTAAGCAGGTATGTTACTGATATGTTGTGTGTATGTTTCTGAAAGATATCAAAAACATTGGGAATATTAATTCTATCTAATATTCACTGCAGGTGTTTGAAAAATGGAAACAGGAGCACGATCATCTGCTCGGAGAAAAGTACAGAAAACAGAAAGAAGCTGAAAATAAACTTCAGCTAAAAAAGCAAACAGAGGAGGAGGAAAAAAAGAGAGAGAGTGCTTCTGCTTTTTCTCGGTGGTGAGTGAATAGTTGACTTTGTCATTTGTTATTTATTTATTTGATGATGCAATGAAAAAAATGTTCTCATTAAATTAGGAGTTGAGTCGTGTAATACTATGACTTAAATCTCCATTATGACATTATTCTTGTGAGATGATTATATAAATTGGCCCTAATACTTTAGAGAACTTAGCTTTATTAACACTGACCTCCATTGATAGAAAGTTTTGTGTCTGTTTCACTTGTGGTAAATATTGTGTTGTTCAAGCTTATTTAAAAACAAATCAATTACTTCACTTAATTATACTTGATTTGTATCATTTTAATTGGGCTCTGTAAGTAATTATAGTAACATTACCAAAATAGAGGTTGTGTCAAACTATCCATTTGGATGTGGAAATCGTTGACCAGTAGGTGGCAGCCAAAGCTCGACGTTTAGCCATGTGTTACCAATCAACCTCTCGGTCATGAAAACATGAGCAGTGAAATAAGCTTCCTCTTAAGTGTTGTTATTGTTACTTTTCTCTTGAAATGATGAAGGTGTGAAAAGAAGAAAGATGTTCTCCATGAAAAGGTCACCATGGAGCACAAAGAAGTCAAAACTAAAGCAGAGGAGGAACGATACATGAAAGAGGAGAGAGATAAAATGGCTGTGGAAATGTATGAAAACTGGCTGGTGAGTAGAATTACCTGGGATACCTGGGATTAATGGCGTCCAATGTACTACTGTTTATTTGCTTTTGAGACAGTTGGTATCACTAAACAATGACCACCAGCTTGCACTGTAATGTCTTCAGTGTTCATTTCCTTTTTTTGATTTCCTTGATCTGCTACTATTCAAAGAGGTACTTGTGGTGGAGGAATGTTTACAAAAGGTTATATTACTTATTACTGATTTTTTTTTTCCCAAACAGGCAAGAAAAGATCTAGAACAGAAGAGACGGAGAGAAGAAAGACGGATAAAAGCTATTCTCCAAGACAGTCCTCCTCCACCATGGAGCCCTCCTAATAAAACTATAGGATTTGGAAAATAACATTAATATGTAACATGACACTCCGGGGGAATCTGTGGATGTTGTGTGGCATTTTTAATTTTAGTTTTTTACTGTATTTTGTAACAAAAGTATGTGAAGTTTATTTATGTTTTAGAGTTACAAGAAGCTCCAAACCATCACACCACCTTTGAAACAGATCTGTTCAACACCCACTGCTTATTTCATGGGTGGATGTATTTGTGGTCATCTTTATGTGCCACAGAAATAGCAATAAACCGATTCATTCATGAATGACTATTTATTGAATACAAATGTGCATCTTCAGATTTGTTTACAAAACGTTTTAGTCACTGTAGAAATATTATATATGTGTAATAAAAATATGTGTAGACATTTGAAACATTGAGTCGGAGAGATTAACATGAATTGAATGTTTGTGATGTGGAATTTTCAAGCTTTGAGTTGCAAGCTTGTGTTTTTCTTTATATGCAGTCTGTGGTTTTGACCCTGTATTGACAGACCTTCTAATCAGACAATGGATTGCACAAAATATCCAGAACATATTTCTTCAGCTCCAAAACCTTTTTATGCAAGAAAATTATGTGTGGAGGAGGAACGGGATGACTTTCAAGCAAACCTTGAAATACCTGGGATTCCTAAATGAAAACTTTCAGGAATTGAGATCTTGCTGTCTTCCAAGGACTCACTCTAATAAATGAGTCCTTGAATCCTCTAGAACTCCAGGAGCGGAAGAAAAGCAATAGCCTGAACACACTGTGATGGTCTGAGTTATCATATAATCATCTGACTGTCTCGTGTAGGTGTCCTGTTTCGTCCTTTATTTACCTAATGCACGACCAATTTAGTGCAGCCTATTTACAATAAAAACTCTGCTTTTACTTTGAAACCCGTCACAGCGGAAGTAATGGTTGTATGACAGACATCCCTCAGCTCAGAGGATAAAAGTGTCGACTCTTAAAGTTGGGAGAGCAGAGTTGTCGTCCGTCCTCCGCAGGTCGAGTCCACAGTGAAGACAGTCCACAGTCAGAGGACAGTCCACAGTGAAGACAGTCCACAGTCAGAGGACAGTCCACAGTCAGAGGACAGCAGCTCCGGACTCCACGTTTGTCTCGACGAGCAACAAAAAGCAGCGAACACACAAACTGCGTTTTATTCCCTGGAGCTTCAGACCGTCGAGCTGGCAGAGGTAATGTAACCTAACGGGAGCTAGCTACAGCTGCTAACTGCTGCCACACACAGACCATTCGTTCGTTTCCCTGGATTTCTTTGACCCGCACAGGGAAGAGGGAGGTGAGCTAGCTTAGGTTGTGTTCGTGTTCATGTGCAGAAGAAGTAGTGACACTGTGTAGCTGAGCTATCGGGAGCTAGCTGCACGGTGAGGGGCAGAGGGACGTGGCTGAGCTGCTGTGAAAGGCTCTCTCTGTTCTACAAGGCTGTAACGGTGCGACTGGTAACTGGTGTCCACACGACACCGAGGACAGAGTGAAGAAAACCAACCTACATTTTCTCTTAAAGCTTCATTCACTGTACTGAAATCCACCATATGGAGCCTGCACTCACAGCTCTACGTCTATTAGCAGAGTACACAGCAGGCTGGTAGGTTAGAACTTATGTTCTCCATTCATCTGGGTTTTTTTTTTTTTTTTTTTTTT